GTGAGAGAGTCGGGGCGGGGGGGGGGGGGGGGGTGGGGGGGGGCGGGTTTGACCAGGGGATTGCTGAGGACCCAGTTAAGATGCCATTTCCGGGAGAGGTCAAAAGTCATTAAATCTCAGTGTGCTGATATGAGGCTTAGCAGAACTGACTCCATTTAGAGCCTATTATCTTCTTTGTTTGGCTTTGGGGCCAGACCTGGCAGCGCCATGCCCTTCATCCAAGCCTTGCCCTGTGCATCGGGACAATGGCTGATCCGGAACATTAGTTTCTGATATATTGGTGGGCTGAAGGGGAAATATGTGTCCTGAGCTCTGGATCCATTGGTTGAAACTGAGAGGGCACCTAGGAAGCTCCAATGTGCCACCAGTTGGTCAGAGGCCCAGGTGGGCTTGCAGCTGTATATAAGGTAAGGGCACCTCTGAGCCCCCTCTCCTGGCCTTCAGGACCTGGGGCCTCTCCAGGAGCTGAACTGAGCTGAAGTCTTGGTTGCCTTGCTGGGATCAGGGAGCCTCCTGGTGATGGGGGGGTGCAGCCACACACACCCTTGCAAAAGGATCAGGTTTCCAAACTGCCTCTGACTGCTGCCATACCAGCCAGAATTCTTCAAGTGAACAGTCATCTGTGAGGTTCAGCGGCCTGCCTGAGTTGATGCCACAAAACTTCCACTCTGGGCTGCCCACTCGGTGTACAAGGGAGCCCCACCCCCACCCCATCTGGCATGCATGGGGTTGAGTTGGCCTTCTTGGATACCACAGATAAGACCTTTAGGGTCTTGTTCGGCTAAGACCTTGCAGCACTGTCCACTGTAGCACTGTCCTCCCGTTGTTCATCGATTTGCTTGAGCGGGCACCAGTAACATCTCCATTGTGAGACTGTGAGACTTGTTACTGTTTTTGGCAAATCGAATATGCCATGGGGAGCTTGCCAGGCTCTGCTCTGCGGGTGGTGGGATACTCTCGGTAGCTTGCCGGGCTCTCCAAGAGGAACGGAGGAATCGAACCCAGGTCGGCCGCATGCAAGGCAAATGCCCTACCCACTGTGCTATCGCTCCAGCCCCAGCTAAGACCTTAACCTTCCACTATTCCCAGTGACTTCCCTTCTGAACGCAATGCTGCAAGCAAGCGCCTTACCCACTGCACTATCTTCTAGCCACAAAAAGGTGTTTAAAAAGAAATCATGGGGCGAGGAGGGAAGGGGTCTGGGGGCCGCTGATACTGGATGCAGTAAGGCAGGCCTGATGATCCAGCGCTTGGTATTTTTATTTCAAGGGTCATAGCTGATGACGTTCGAGGGAGACTAAGCAGTGCTGGTGCTGGAATCCCCGCAATCTGCCTGCTGTGACCTCTCTAGTCCCTGGGTTGGTGCTTGGACCCAGAGATGTGGTGGTGCCCAGGCATGGAGCCCACCAGGGCCACAGCGACCAGGGGTTCACCATAGCCCCAGAGGATGAAATTTGGGGCCTTGCACATACCTACACTCCAGCCCTTTGAGTTTTCTCCCAGATCCCCAAAATAGACATTTGATGTTTTTAGCTAGCATAACTAAGCAAGTGGAAATAAAGGGAGACAGACCTGAGGGGCCAAGAGGGTAATCTGCTGAGAAATGCTTCCTGCTCTGATTCCTCTAACCCCACCTCCCAGGGCCCCACCTGGAGCATTCTGACCCCGTCCCCCAGAACAGGGGTCTTCCTCCTTCCCCTCAGAGCCCCCAGATGGTCTTTGAGCGAGCGCCTCCAGTGGGCCAGATACCTTGTTCATGCCCTGGAGCGCTTATACTCCCGCCCTTCCTGAAGGAAGGTGCTCGGGGGACCCAGAAAGTAGGCCAGGTCCTTGTGACCTTAGCAAAATAGCACAGCAAGGCCTTCACCAGCAACCCACAGAAGCAGGGCGAGAGATTGAGAACTGGAGGGGCGGGCCTCTGGGTACCCTCAAGTCCTGCCCCCCAAAAGAACCTTCTCTAGTTCATGTGTCTGTGTGTGTGTGTGTGTGTGTGTGTGTGTGTGTGTGTGTGCACATGCGTACATCTCAGGAGAAAGATGGGGACAGAGAGGAAGGGTTAAGCACCAAGCCAGAGTGACTAAATTCTGCTGGGAAAGATCCCTGGCTGGCAATCAGATTGCTATTAGGCATTAGGCAAGAAGGAGTTTGCAGGGAGGAACGGCCAGAGTTGGAAAGAGCCTGAAGATGGGGAGAGGTGACGGCAGAGGTTAGCAGCCAGCACCCTGGACATCCAGGGTCTTCAAAGTCCCCCCAAAACCCGGGGCCACAGGAAGGCAGGTTCCCCCTGACAGAGGAAGAACAACAGTCTTGCCAGCCTAGGGCTCTGAGGTGCCCAGTTCTGGCGCAGCTGGCCGACCCTAGAGCCACAGGCATCCCCCTTATAGGTGGAGAACCAGAAGGGCTCTGCAGTGGCACTTTCCTTAGTGCTTGAAGCTTCTGTCATTCTCCAGAGTGAATGGCGCCTGGATGCAGCAATTGTTCCAGTTGAGACATTGTTCCTGCCAGGAACTGAATTGGACGACATCGCTATCTTGGTTGGATGCAAATCTCCGCTCACCCAAGTGCCTGACATTCACCCCATCACTGAAGTCAAACCTGGCTCATAGCAGAAACCAGACTCATCTGCAACACATTTCCCTCAGATGGTGTCTCAAAACAGACAAGGGATAGTAGGTTTTGAATCGCGAAGTTGCAGGTGATCAGGTGATAAGACAAACGCTGATGATGATGACAGAGCAAAAAGAGCAGAAGGCTGAGACATGAAGATGCCAACAGACAATAAAAATGGACCTCAGGGGGGCTGGAGAGATAGCACAGCGGATAGGGCGTTTGCCTTGCACACAGCCAACCTGGGTTCGATTCCCAGCGTCCCATATGGTCCCTTGAGCACCGCCAGGAGTAACTCCTGAGTGCAGAGCCAGGAGTAACCCCTGAGCATCGCCAGGTGTGACCCAAAAAGCAAAAAAAAAAAAAGGACCTCAGGGAGACACCTCATCCAGCTCAGAGCAGCCCTCCAAGAACCTGATGGCTGTCCCTGCTGGCCACCTGGGTAGATTCCCCCATCACCATGGCACAACTCTATCTCCATAGGTCCCTGAAGGACTGCCTGGGCCCACTGAGTCAGGAGACAAGCCATTTTGCCAAAGACATTCACTTTCCACTATTCCCACCGACTTTCCTTCTGAAAGTCATGTTGATTGAGTATGTGTGACCGCCCAAGGATCTGTCATTTAATCAAGAGGGGAAGGCTGGCTGTGTGTAGGCACTGACACCCTCAGAATGCTTAAGCATCCCTCAAGCAATCACAAAAATGTGCTCTGCCCCACTTCCGGTTGACCCCTTTACAGTTGACCCCCTTCCGACTGATCCCCTTCTGGTTGCTTCCTTGGAAAGTTTCTTGTCAGAAATGTTTTAACACAGAAAGGGAAAATAGTACAGGGGTTAAGGCCTCACGTGCAGCCCAAACTACTTGATCTCTGGCACTGCATAAGGTCCGCTGACACCACGAGTGACAGACTGCCCACCCCCTGCCCCCCGCCACCATCTACACACTGTCCAGTGTGGCCCGGACAAGCCCCTCCACATCCACCAAAACTGTTTTCCAGAAATGTTTTCATGCAAAGCGGAAAGCCACGAATAGTCAGTGTCACATTTCCTCTAATGGCCATGCTACTGGACAAATCACTGGAGTCAGGAGGCCACCAAAGCCCCACAGGAGGGTGGGGGCAGGAGCCACCCACTTGCTGGCCCCAGGGAAGACGTTCGGACAGTGCCAGTACAGTAATGGAAACTGCAGAGAAGGTGCCAGGGCTGACTTCTATGAAGAAATAGGAGGAGGCTGGGCCGGCAGACAGCAGCGCGCAGCCCACAGGATGCCCACGGCCAGAATTCACAAAGAGGCCATGAGCACGCAAATCAATGAAATCAAGCTCTGTGCAAAAAGCTCGCCTCACCTGTGGGTCAGGAGCCCAGTCACCATCACTGGCCGGTCACAAGAAAAATAAAAAATCCCAAGCCTCTAGTGACCTGGTGGATGCCCGTGCATGGGTGCCGGAGTGGATGGGTGGGTCAAATCCTTGTGACCAGTCCCTTCCCGTTTGTGTCACCTTTCCCACTGTCCCACAGACCTCAACTTCCCACCGTAAGCTGGAAGCCAGCACTAAAGTGGCAGCCCTGAGACGTGGGGTTCCACCCCATCCTCCAACACCCCAATGACCTCCCTCACTACTAGCCAGGCTGGACCGGGGAGTAGGAAAAAGACAAGGCTGAAAGATTGTTGGGGGTCAAGGGGTGAGGATGCCACAGGCCCAGCACCTCCATGGACACATAGGGGCCCCAAGTTCCAGGGCCTCAGGCCAGACAGAACTCAGGTGGGGGAGGGAGAGGGGGCAGGAGGAGGTGTGAAATTGAGAACCTTCCAGCTCTGCACCACAGGGAGGTGCCGGGAGCTGCAGGGCCAGCAGAAATCCGAGCAGAAATCCGACCAATGGCCTGTTCCAGGTCAGCCATGGACAGAGCAGGGCCAGGACCTGGGAGATGGGGGACCAGGGCTGCTTTGCTTGCAGAGGGCTGCTCAAATACAGAAACAGCACCCCAACATCTTTCTTAGGGAAGGCCGGCAACATTCCAACTCCAGGCCCTCTCCCTGAACAGCTCCTGGGAGGTGGGTTCCAGCCCGGAACTGAGACAGAGGAGAGGGAGAGGGAGGATGCGTCTCCCCCCCCTTCTTTGCCCCGGGTTTTCCCAAACTTGGTTTCCCAGACCAAGGAGAAACGGTTAAAGGCCTTAAAGCCCAGCGATCGTTGCGGGGGGCGGAGGGGGGTGCTCGTTGAGAAAGGACGGGACCCCACCCGATCCACACCCAGCTAGTGCCTGCCAACTGCAGGGTGAGGTCCCATTTCTGCGGCTGCAGGCCACTCTCCCGCACCAACCCCAGCCCGCCGCCCCGAGTGCTCGCTCCCCTCTCCCGGTGATTGGCTCCGCCCCTCCCCGCTCCTCCTCTCCCCCCACCCCGGGTGAAAACTGCGGGCGCCGGGCGGGGTGCAGCTGGTGGCGGCTGGAGCGCGTCCGGACCGGGCTGCAGCAGCGGAGAAACCCAGGTGGGAGCTGGGGACGCGGGGCGCTGGGATGAGCCCCCCAACCCCCAGGGTCCCAGGCGAGCCCTCTCACCCCGTGCGGGACGCCGGGAAGGAGCTGGGCTGCGCAGGCTGAGGGTTCGCCTCCTTGGCAAGGGCGGGAGCGGGACGCCCGAGCTGCAGGCCAAGGGCAGCGCCGCACCCCGCCTTTGGAACCGGGGGGCGGAGGGGAGGCAGCGGCCTGGGGTGCGGAGCACGGGAGTCTGGGGCTGGGGTGCTGGAGAGAAGGGGGCAGCCAGGACAGCCTGGGGGAGGGGGAGGGAGATCTGCTCTGCACCCCGGAGTCCCAGCTCGCCAAGGCGGGGGAGGTGGGGAGGGAAGGAGCGCAGCGCGCTGGAGGGACGACGCTGCCCCGTGACCCCGCGGACCGAACCGAGCCGGCAGACCGTGGGGAAACCGCAGTGCTGCCGGCGGGCACCGGGTGAAGGGCGGGCGGGGGCGGGGGGCCACTGGGGAAGCGGGGGCTGCTCCGCCGGGATCTGGAATAAGGGTGGGGCCAGTTAACGGTCGCTGGCGAGGGAGGCAGAGCCCGGGGTCCACGCTGTGAGCGCTCGAGGTAGAGGGGAGGAAAGCGGGCGGCGCCTCCCCCACCAGCTCTGCCAGCTTCACCGAGGCCTCCCCGCTCCCTCGTTCCAGACCCCGCTTCCTCCTTCCCCTCCCACCTCGCGCCCCTCCTCCTCATCAGTCTGAGGCCGACCCCCTCGCACCCCGGGTTCTCCCCCTCCGGCACCTGCACGCCCCTCTCTCGCCAGGGCGCTGGGCCGGGATGGGGAGTGACCGCACCCCGCGGCAGGGCCGAGCGCCAGGGACCCTGGACGCCGGCGGCGCGCCCTGCGCACCCGGGCACACAGCCGCGCGCACCGGCCCGCGCGCACGGCGGGCGTCCGCCCCTCCCGGCCGCTCTCTAGCCGGCTCCGCTGCCCAGCCGGCTGGACTACCTGCTCGGGGGTCGCCTGGCCAAGAGGAGGGGTGGAGTGGAGGCTGAGAGCGCAAAACCCAATCAGCAGGTCGCTGAGGCAGGAGACTACAGAAGCCGGGCTGGAAATCTGCGGGCCTGGGAACCAATCGCGGAGCATCCCAGTTCCGGTGCAGGGCGAGCGGTTCTGAAACCCGAGCGCGCTGGCTTCCCCGCACACACACCCAGGAACCCCAGCACCGAACGCCAAGTTCAGTCCCCTCTGGGAGCACTTGAGCCACACAGCCACCGGGATGGAGGGACGGACGGGAAGGTCATATGTCTCAGGGGCGCGCAGCATTGGTGCCGATGGCTGTTTTGCTTAACCCCCCTGACCGCCCTGCAGGTTCTGGAACTCCCACCATGGAGTCATTCACCCAGTGCCTTGGGAGCAGCTGCGAGTCCCCAGGCACTGTTGGCACTGTTGGCAGCCTCTCAATGGGGAGGGTTTTGGCATTTTTATTTGTTGGTTGGTTTTGGTTTGGGGCTCGCACCTGGTGATACACAAGGACACACTCCTGGCTCTGTACTCAGGGATCACCCCCGGTAGGCTTTGGGACCCTACAAGGTGTCACGAATGGAACTGGGGTTGGTCACGTACAAGGAAAATGCCCTCTCCGCTGTCCTGTCCCTCTGGGACAGCAATGGGTGGGGGTGGGGTTGTGGAGACTGGTTCAGCAAGGCTGTGAGAGTCTAACCCTAGCAAACGGTCAGGAAAGGGGTTAGGGATTATGAGATCCTGAGTTGATCCCCAGAACTGTAAATAAAATAAAATAAAAATGGCTCATAGGGGCCAGAGAGCGAGCACACAGCCAACCCTGGTTCGATCCCTGGCACCGTCTATCGTCTCTCGAGGTCCACCAGGAGTAATCCCTGAGCTCAGAGCCAGAAGTAAGCCCAAAACATCACCAGGTGTGACCCAAAAACCTAAAAAAGACCAAGAATGACTGATGGGGGCCCAGGAGAGAGTCTGCATGGCAGGGCACATACAAAGCAGCTCTGCAGACCTGAATTCAGTCCGTGTCACCTAGGAAACAGGTGGTACAGTGTGTGTGCCACATCTCTGTCCATACGGACCTTCCTGCTGCAAGTCGCCTGGCTCTCAGGCTCTGCATCCAGAGGCCAAGCACCGGCCAAGCGCACCATGAAAGGGCGTGGACTCCCTGTCCCCTCACCGCCGTGGCCTCCCACAGTGAACCGATGGCAGTGTCCTGTCACAGCGAGGTCCTGGGAGCAGCCAAGAAAGGCCACCAGGTGACGCTGCATTGCCACGCGGACACCATTGAGCCACCCTGCCCGCCTGGACGGAATGGCACCAGAAACGTGTGCAGATGTGGACGGTGGCAAGGCAGCATACGGCCAGGGTTAGAATGGAGCAGTGGAGCACTTGGCCCTCGGCTGCCAGAGAGGAGGATAGTCACCATGTGCCTGCCGCCCTGCAGCTGGGCATGGGGGTGGCGGCCCGAGATCAGTGAACCAGCGGCAAAGCCTGCACAAGCTCATGCAGGTCTGAGACACAAACACAAAACACAGTAGGGGCTGGGAGTGGCCAGGGGAAGGGAGGCCAGGTGGATGGAGGAGAGAAAAGGAGTCTGCCATGGCCTGTCACAGCTTCCACCTGAGGCCCAGCTCTTCCTGCTGCAAGTCGCCCAGCTCTCAGGCTCTGCATTCAGAGGCCAAGCACTGGCCAAGTGCACCATGAAAGGGCATGGACTCCCTGTCCCCTCGCCGACAGGATGGGCCACCTGCCCTGACTCTTGGCTGATTCCCACCCCGTGTCCCCCATCAGGTCCTGGACTGAGCTCTCGGCACCATGAACCCCACCATTACCACCGTGCTCCTGTTGGCAGGTACTGGGCAGGGGCAGGGTGGGCATTCCTGAGCCATCGTGCCTACCGCCAACCATGAAAGCCCTTCCCGGTGGGAACCCAGAGACCAACCCAGCCCCCCGGATCTCCCAGGGATGGGACGGGGGGGGGGAGGCTTAGGCTGGGGGCTGCGGTGGGGAGACAGGGATGGCCATCTGGGGTGGGGAGGAGCACGGAGAGTGGGTCTGGGGCTGTCCCTGGCCAGGACCTTCACCACTGATGTGGATGGGAGACCCCCGGCTGGGCAGGTTGCAGGGGGAGAAGCCCCTCTCAACTTGGAAGGGCACCGATGGTGCCAGTCTTGCAGGTGGCGTGCGGGCAGAAGGTGAACAGCCTAACGGCCTGCCTGGTGAACCAGAGCCTGCGCGTGGACTGCCGCCATGATAACAGCAGCAGCCTGCCCCTCCTCTACGAGTTCAGCGTGACGCGGGAGACCAAGAAGCATGTGCTGTCGGGCAACATCGGCGTGGTGGAGCACGCCTACCGCACCCGCACCAACGTCAGCTCCAAGTACAACATCAAGGTGCTCTACCTGCACGGCTTCACCAACAAGGACGAGGGCGTCTACGCGTGTGAGCTGCGCGTCTCGGGCCAGCCCGGCACCGTCTCCAACATGAACATCTCCGTATTCCGGGGTGAGCCAAGGGCCCCTCCCCCTTCCGGGTCTCTGCGGAGTCACCTCCCTGTGGTGGGGAGTGGGGGGCTTGCAGGAGACAGAACGGGGTCCCCCTTGACTCTGGGCTAATCCCTTGCCTCCCATCCCCCAGCATCCCCCAAGCTGGGCACCAGGAATGTTGCTCCCGGTCACAGGCTCCAACCTCTTGGTTCCCTTGGGATGCATTTCCTGGGGGCCCGGGACCCTAGAGGGGATGGTGGGTGTCCCCGAGTCACCTCTCCCTGTCACCTGCTCCAGATTCCTGGTTCTCTTGGGATGTATTTCCTGAGGGCTCGGGGCCCTGGGCGGGGATGGTGGGTTTCCCCCTCAGCCCTGAGACCCGTCCCCTCTTCTCTCTGCAGACAAGCTGGTCAAGTGTAAGGGCATCAGCCTGCTGTCCCAGAGCCCCTCGTGGGCGCTGCTACTGCTGTTGGCGCTTCCCCTGCAGGCTGTGGGCGCCATCTCCCTGTGATGGGCAAGGACCCCCCACACACACAGCACCGACACCCCCCGTGCACAGAGCCCTTCTCTGAGTAGGCTCACCCCTCCCCAGATTCGCGGGGAGCCCCTGGTATGGGATCCCAGTGCTGCATGCCCTCCTCCCGCTCCCCCCCGACCCTCTGCCCCTGCTGTCCTCCCACTGTCTCTACATTCCGTCCCCAAGCCGGGCCTGGGGGTTCACTGAGACGGGTCCCTCCTTTTCTCTAGGGTTTGGGGAAGAAAGGGATATTGGGGTTGGGCCTGACAGAGCGTGAGGGCAGGAGCAGAATGGAGTTCACTGGAATTGGAGGTCCGGGAGCACCCCAGAGAAGAGAAGAGGGTGAGGCTGGGAGGGCCTGGCAGAGCCCTGGGTGGGGGGCAGAGCTGCTCCCTGGGAGACTTGCAGCAAAGGTCTATGCCAGCAGGGAACGGGGCAGGGAATGGGACAGGCTGCGGGAGAGACCGTCCTCCCTCCCTACCGAGGAACCTCAGTCGGGGTCGTGGGTGTTGACCCGAGTCACCCCAACCTCAACCGCAGAGCGTGGGGTGGAGCTATCCTTTAGTGAAACAGGTGGGAGGCTGCCGTCACAACCCCCACACCGGGACAGCCTAGGATGAGTCCCGTCCCGTCCCCACCCTAGGAGGCCCAAACCCTCTGGGGCTCAAATGGAGGCACGGTCTGACCGGGTCAAGCCCCCCAGCCTGATTCGCCCTCAGCGTGCCCCCTGGCCCGCCGCCTGCCTTCTCAGGGATCTCTGGGGGGCCTGAGGCAGGCCAGGAAGAGACCCCCAGGAACCGGCTCCCCGACACCCTGCACCCCACCCCGTGACCATACGGTGCCACCCCGGCTTCGGCATCTCGTGGAGGAAAGAGCAAAGTGCATAATAAACCCCCTGAAGTCTGGCCCCGGTCCGTCCGGCTCTACGCCCGTCTGCGCCCCCAGCCCAGGGAAGCACTTTGGGGGGCATCTCAGCGACCGACAGGGTTCCTGCACGGGCAGAGCGCCACCTTGTGGCAAGCACCTGTGCTTTCCTCCCAGCCCTGCGGGGGTTGCCAGAATCCCCCCACCTGGATGCAAGAACCCCGCAGGGCACAGAGCCCCCAGGGAAGGGGGGTTGTCCGCGTCACCCAGGCCCCCCGCGGGACTGGAGGGAGGCTTGGGCCATCCTGCCAGGAGCCGGGGGCGGCGCTGACTCATGTGGTATTTAGCTGGGACGGCTGCCGGAGCACTGGCTGACGCGGGATGGGCACTCCTGCATCGGCTCCGCCTCTGGGCTGCTCTCCTTGATGCCTGAGCCTTACTGCTAGCCCCAGAGCACGCTGAGAGGCCTGCCCACCCTGCACGGCCAGCTTGGGGGACCACAGCCTCCCTACTCGCCACCTCCCAAGAGTTGAGCCCAGAAATCCAAAGGGCCTTCTGTGGGTGGGGGGAGGGGAGTGGGAAGGCTGGGTGGGACCCTGCTCTGGGGAGCTGGGGTAGCACCCTCGGGGCAAGCTCAGGCCACCCAGGGTGGGATAGTTTATGAAGGCACAGAGGGCCGGAAAGGACAGGAAGGGACCCCACCACCTCTGCCACCGGCAGGGTCCCTGCAAGGGCAGAGCGCCACCTTGCGGCAAGCGAAAAGACTCTTCGGGGACTGGGGGTGTAGAGGCCTTTCTGCAACAGCTGCGGGATGCCCGGGGTGACTCGACTGGTTCCTGCCGCAGGCCCGGACCTCACTGCCCATGTTGCCCCCCCAGAACCCCCTCACTTCAGGGCAGGCACTTTCTGTGCTCCCCAGCAACCAGACCTTCCTGAGACTGAGTAAGGCACAGGGGCCTGAGCAATCCCCGACATCGGGGCAGAAGGCATCCACCGCCCCTTTCCAGAGAGAGATCGCTGGGCACCCCCCAAATCCACCCCCTTTAATCAAACAGAAAGCGCCCCCCTTGCATCTGAGGCTTCCGCTGCCCCTGGATGGTCCCAGCTTCAGGGGAGGGGTGGGCTGAAGGGAAACATCCCTCTGGGCCACCCAGCCCGTCTGCCCGGAATCAGGCCCCTGAGGGCCACGGTACAGAGGGCAGCAGAGGGTCACACTGAGTGTGGCTGAGCCTGCCCTGCCCAGGCCGAGTGCAAACTGCCCAGGGTGGTCCTCGGCCACTCCCAGATTGCTCAGGACAAAGGGGCTTCTGCCCCGCACAGCTGTGGGCACTGGGTGTCAAGGCAATAACAGGGAAATGTGGGGGGTAGGGTGAGCAGTGGGGTGGGGTGTGAGGTGAGGGTTTGGGTGGGGAGTGGGGTGGGGTGGGGGTGAGATGTGGGACAGGGTGTGAGGGATGAGGTGGGGCGGGAGGGGTGGGATGCGAGGGGTGTCGGTGCAAGCAGCAGGATGCCTGGAGCGCCCAGGTTATTCGGGTTCTTGGAACTTCTGGGGACTGAGGGAGGTCCAGTACGACCTGCTCCTGGGGGCACAAGGGTCACACACAGGCTGCTGACACTTCCAAGACACTGTCACTTGGAGGGACCCACTTCCTGTGACTGAGCCCCTCGGGCGAGGCAGCCAGCAGCTGTCACCCACCCTGGGCCCAGGCCAGCGCAGCCTGTGGGCTCTGCTCCAGGATGGAGACCCACAAGTCCAGCGCTGCCCCTGGGACCCGGTTCCTGGGAGCACACCCGCCAGGCCCGGTGACAGACCCCTCCCCCCACCCAGGAAGTCCTCACACAGACGTCCAGGGGCTGGGGAGGCAGCTCAGAGGGCAGCAACAAGGGCTACACATGAAGAAGGCCCCAGAAGGTCCCCCCAGCACTGCCAGGTGTGACCCCAAACCCAAACAAGGAAGTACAAATGCGGGGAGCCCTTCAGTGGAAGCATTTGGGGGGCCTCCAGGACTGCGCTCACCCCTCAGCACTCAGGAACATGCAAGGGCCCTCACAGCTGACAAGGCTCCTCCTTCAAAGAGCAGATGCAAATCCATGGATGGTGACAGGACACCGAGACCTCGTCATAGGCAGTTGAGTCTCCCTCACAGTCCCCGCCCCTCTGGGCCCCTGGTTCTGGCCTGGGCCCCTCCTGGCAGGGCCCAGAGCTCCGAAGCACCACAGGGAAACCAGGTGACAGGAGGAGGGGTGTACTCCGGCCAGCTCAGCGCACCACCCACCTCACGAGGCAGCCAGCCCAACCCAAGGTGAATCGGAGCCTCCCTCTGTCTGGACACAGAAAGCGCCTCACACTAGGACATGAAGGGCTTCCAAAGTTATAAACGAGAATGAAAGTGGGAATAGCATATGGTCCAGAAATTCTGCTTCCAGATACATACATGCAGGGGGTGAAAACGCTTAAAGTGAGAGGGGCTGGAGCAATAGCACAGCGGGTAGGGCGTTTGCCTTGCACGCGGCCGACCCAGGTGTGATTCCCAGCATCCCATATGGGCCCCTGAGCCCTGCCAGGGGTGATTCCTGAGTGCAGAGCCAGGAGTAACCCCTGTGCATCGCCTGGTGTGACCCAAAAAGAAAAAAAAAACGCTTAAAGTGAGGACCAGAGAGAAAGACCGGTGGGGAGGGCGATTGCCTTACACACAGATGATCTGGGTTCAATCCCCAGCACCACTGATGGTCCCCACAGGCTCCGGCAAGAGTGATTCCTGAGCACAGAGCCAGGAGTCAATCCTAAGCGCCGCCAGGTGTGACCCAGAAACCACAAATTTTAGTGTAGAAACAAAACAAAACACTAACTTGAAGAGATATTCACACCTCGTGTTCACAGCAATGTTATTCAGAATAACATAATCACCAAGATGTGGAGCATTAGTTTGCCATAATGACATGTGGAATACTAAAACAGTAAGTCAATTAAAATATATCTGTATGTATATACATATATATACATATATATATATTAGTACAACGGGTAGAACACTTGCCTGTACACAGCCAACCTGGTCAGCCAAAACTGGGTTTGATCTCCAGCATCTGATACGGTCCCCCGAAACTCACCAGGAGTGATCCCTGAGCACAAAGCCCTGAGCACAGCCAAATCAAACCAAAACAAAAAAACATCCAAAGGTAATCAGTAGAAATGAAGAACCCAACAACTGATCTCCAGAAGGAAGCTTATCATGGGGAGGCAGGTGAAAACAGAACAGGGAGAACGCCACAGCCATGGCCACCAGGGGGAGGACAGTACTAGAAACCAGTGTCAAACAAGAAAAAAAGGAAAAAGATTGTTTTAATGTGCCTGTCTGTAGGCAAGATGATGGGCGGGAGGGACCCTGGGAACACCAGTGGAGAGAAGTGGACACTGGTGAAAGGGATTGGTGTTGGAACATGGTGTGCCTGAAACCCAATCCAGAGTAATTTTGTAATTCAGTTACTTTTTTTTTGCTTTTGCTTTGGCAGTGTTCAGGGGTTACTCCTGGCTCTGCACTCAGGAATTACTCCTGGTGGTGCTGGGGGAACCATAGGGGATGCTGGGAATCGAACCCGGGTCAGCCGCATGCAAGGCAAACGCCCTGCCTGCTGTACTCCTTCCCCAGTTACTTTTTTTTTTTTTTAAGTTAACTACTGGGACCGGAGTGATAGGGCAGCGCTAGCACTTGAGCTCAGCTAAGCCAGATTCCATCCCAGGCATCCCTGGTGGCCCCCAAGCAGCACCAGAAGTGATTCCAGCCAGAGTGCAGAGCAGAAGTAACCCCAGAGCATCACCGGCTGGAGTTACAAAAAAAAAAAAAAAGAACTATTTCCCTCCTCCTGTATCTGGGAACACAGAAAGAGCTGAAGGCACTGGAAAGGCACGGAAACTCTGGATGTGTCTGGGCGCCAGACTGGCTGCGCGGGCGGTTGTCTTCACCTGCACCCGGACGCCAATGACTGTGAAGGTCGATCTGTTCCAGAAAGCGTTTCGTGCGCGGAATGACAGCGGCAAACACAACGCAACAAAACCCAAACTTTGTCTCAGCGGCGTTTTCTTGCAAGAAAATTCGAATCTCCGGCGAACCCAGCGTCTCCAGGGAACCTCGCGGGTCGCGGGAAGTGAAAGAACCAAGTCCGGGGCGGGAGCGACAACACTGAGAGGAGGGCGTTCGCCTTGCACGCGGCCGACCCGGATTCGAACCCCGGGGCATCGCACTTGGTCCTCCGAGCACCGCCAGGAGGTGCCTGGATGCAGAGCCAGGAGTAACCCCTGAGCGTCACGGGTGTCACCCAAAAAGACAAAAAAAAAACAAAAAAAGAGCAGCAGCAAATCCAAGGGGTCAAGAGTCGTAGTGGCGCGACCCAACTGCGTGGGAAGGGGCCGCAACTCTCAGCTGGCGTAGACGCCGCGCGCCCCCAGCCCGCCCCTCTCCCGAGGGAACCCCTCCCGGCCCTCGCGGGCCCCTCCCTCCAGCTCCACCCTCCCGCGCCGCGTGCTTCCGCGCCACGTGCTCTCTGTATATACGCGTCGCCTAGGAGACGCCGGCGGGGCGGGGCGACGGTGACGCAACAATCGGAACGAGCCAATGGGCGCGACGCGTCTCAGTGACGCGGGACGCGGGGTGTGGCCGGCCGGCCCCGGCGCGATGAGGCGGCTGCCCGCTGGGTGGCGCCAATTTCCCGGGGAGGTCCTTTCGGGGGCCCCCGGCGGAGGTGGGGGAGAGGCGGGCAGGAGCCGAGGCCAGGGAGTCCTCTGCGTCAGCCGCTGCTCGCCGCGCCGCGCCGCGCCAGTAGCAGCCGGGACTCACCCGCAGCCCCATGCTCGTGCCCGGCTCCCCTCGTCCATCCTCGGAGAAGAGGCAGGTAGGTGCCACCTGTCGGAAACCGCGGGGGGCGGGGACGCGGAGGGCACTGCCCAGCGGGGCTGGGAGAGCGAGGCGCCGCCGCCGGCAGCGCGGGCAGGACGGGCACGGGCAAGGGACGCGCGGGGGGCTCCAGCTGCGGCCGCCAGATG